CTCTGCTGATGTAACCTTCCCAGGATGCAGCGCTTGGGCACATTACATCATTTGTGCCAAAGTCGACCAGGAAGTGGAAAAAAATAAATTTTAAGTACAATAAAAATATGTTTGTTTAGCTAATGAATGTAAGATGACCTCATATAAGCATGCAGAGCTGTATGCTGATGTGATTTTTAGACAAAGGTCTGCTTTAATAGGCCAAGTTGTCAGATAGAGGATTGAGACAAACCAATTAACGTAGTACTAAAGGCTCAGTGTTTACTATAATATATTGTCTGCATTAAGGTAAAAAATGCCCCAGTACCTTTGCATGCCCCCCACCTCCAAACATTTATCTATCCTCCATGTCCACCACCGCCAGCTCCAAGACATTTGCGCTGCTTCCCCAAAGTTCCGGGTTGCACAGAGGACAGGGCAGCAATAGACTGCTGCACGCACGGGTGTCTCCTTTACAACCTGCTAGGCAATGGAGACACCGGTAAATAGGAGGGGGGGGCGCAGTATAAAATTGAATGGGGCAGTTTAAAACAAAAAAAGGTAATTAAAGAAACATTAAAGAAAAAAAATGTCCCCCCCCAGTCTGCATGCGGGTGCATGCGTCCATAGACTTACCTTGCGTCTCTGCTCGTCTCTCAGCCAAAAATCCGAACTGCGCATGCGCCCGCCCAAAGATGCTTTGCGGCCGCCCGAACAGTGTCAGGCGGGAGCGCACAAAGAAAAAAAGGTAAGTTGTTATAGCGTTTTTTTAGAAAACTGTTTGCCTATACCTGCTGCTTGATAGCAGTAGATATAGGCAAAAACACGGGAGGGTTTAGAACCCCTTTAAGTAAAAATGGATCTACTGTGCTGAATTTAAAAAAACAATGGTGCATGATATCACTTTAACACTGACCGAGGTGCTTACAAACATCAGCCTTTATTCATTTATGTAAAACAGAAATAAAACTGTTGCTGTAACTGCTTTAGGCCAGGTGCGCGCTTGGGCGATCCCAGGACCGTGCGTTTGTGTGCAGTCATCCACAGCGTTTGCTGAGTGGCCCCATTGATTATCAATGGGGTTACATCCACACGGCAATCAATGAAAAAAGGTACGTGTACCTTGGTTCGTGATGCGTGGTTTGCCTGGTGCGACTGCAGTGCCATTAGAAAAGAATTGCACGGCCAGCGCCATCAGCGGTGGTGTGCGATTTCGTGACCACGCGGCCCTCTGTGCGGTTTCGTCCATGATTGCCGCGTGGTCACGGATCGCCCAGGTGTGAACCTGGCCTCAAAAGCAAGTTTGGAGTTTAGATTTGTTAATCAAGTCCATCTAACACTATCCTCTCCACAGGGTGACAATGCTGCTGTCCAAGGGTGGCTCCATTGCTCCTCCATACAGTGGAGCCACCCTGAGACAGGAAGCGTCTTATTGGCCAATTATCAGGTGAAAATAAAGGGGGAAAAGGAAATGCAAAAAAAAAACAACTAATGCAACCAACACATATAAGGACTGAAGAGCTGCAATGTATTACATTTGTGTTATTGGGTTTGGATACACTATAAAGCAGAACTCCGGGGATTTTTTTTTATTAACCCTTGCAGTGGGGCTACTGCCCCACTGCAAGGGTTAACTGCTCGTTTTGGTCTAGGGAGGAAAATAACAAAGTTATACTCGCCTGGTCCTTGGAGCCAGCCAACTGTGACAGCAGTTCCTGAAGCATGTCTCCTCCAACGCTGTAGTTATGGTATGTCCCTCAGCATCCTCAAGTCATATACACAGTGTATTGAACATGATAACTCACGGACCTTAGACCGCTGCAGCAGAGAGGGAGAGAGTCTCTAGGGACCAGTCTAAAAGCAGGCAGGCTCCGAGGATCAGGTGAGTATAACTTTATTTTCCTCCCTAGACACAAACAAACACCTAACCCTTGCAGGGCGGGGGTAGCGCTACTGCAAAGGGTTAATACAAAATTCCCCGGAGTTCTTCTTTAAAGCTAGAAATAACACAACTTGTCACGATATTGGCACAGAGAAAAAGGCAGCTAGACATGCAAGTATTTAGGAGAAAGTTTAAGGAAAGATGATATAAGGGGAGTGCAGATAAAGACGTCCCAAGGCCAGGCTGAGATGTGCTTGAAGTACTTGGAGACAATATGTGTTTACAAAGAACTGTACTTACAAATGAGTGTGTTAAGCAGAGTGTTTGTACTACACACCCAGAGGTCCAGGGCCTTGGAAACAAGCAAAATGATTTAAAGCAGGGGTAGCCAAACTTCAGCCCTCCACAGCTGTGGTGAAACTACTAATCTCATCATCCCTCTATCTCCAGTAGTCAAGCCTGTGGCTGTCAGTCTTGCAATGCCTCATGAGATTTGTAGTTTCACCGCAACTGGAGGGCCAAAGTTTGGCTACCTCTGGTCAGTCCATGGCTATCATGTACCTGGTAGAGAACCGAGTAGTTGAGGAGGTCTCCTTTGCAACTCTTGTCCCACACCCCTGAGAGTGGAGACAGGGAATGAGAGGACAGAGAGCAGCACCGGTGCCGGAGGGTGCGGGGCACAGTGCCTGGGTGAGTCCGAAGCTGGTCTCTAAGGAAGCAGGTGTGGATGCAGCTGGGAAGACCACCAGGAACTGGAGCAGGATGAGGTCAGGCAGGCCAGGGTCAATACCGGTCGGGCAGCGAAGTACAAGGCGGTAAGCAAAAGAGTAGTCGAGGAGCAAGCAGAGGTCAAGGGCGGCAGTAGCAGTCAGGCGTAGTCAAGGAGATCCGGGTCAGGCAACAGAACACTGGAACAGGCAGAGGCACAGGAACACACACACAGGAGCTGAAAGACCACCCAGCAATGATCCATAGGACTGGCAAGTTTAAATAGGGCCATCAATCCAGAGAAGCTGCATCACTTCCTGCGCGCCACGTTAGCACATTTCCGCGCGCACGCGCAATAGCGCCCTTTTCCCGCAAATGCGGAAGACAGGTTTAGTCTTACAATGGCATGGTGGATGCTGAAGACTCAAACCACCTGACAGTTTTGTCTACGTCTCTGCACTTAAATCCCCGGGTCTGCCTACCTGCTGTGGCCATTACGAGGTATCCTATGCTCCCTGATGATATTTACAATGACAATGTAACAGGGAGAGTTATACTACACAAGGTGAGTGGAAAGACCCAGAATTCCCAGGTGGACAGGAATTTCCTGTTACATTACCGTTGCATCCAGACTGGCTCAAAACCTGCCAGGCGGACGGCTCTAGTTAAGCTGACCATGCTTAATCAGCTTCTTCCCTGGCCTCTGTGGCTGGAGAATGACAGCTCAGAAACTGGAAGTGACCAAATCATTGTTGCTTCCAGGTCCCTCCAGTGGGGAGGAGCAGATGTTTGCTGGTCTCCCTCCCCTCTCTCCACCAACACCCGTAATGGCAGTCCTGGGCCCGCAAGGAACACCGTTACTTACCTTACCCATCACTCCCCCGGCAGCCGATACTCCCCTGTCGTCTCTATCACTCTGGATTGCGGCTGGGCCCCTCGACATCCTCACTTACACAACTGTCCATCCTGCATTGTTCGTGATGTCGTCAGAGTACAACCAAAAAGACACCAGTGTCTAATTTTTTTATGGAATCTTACACAAAAACAAGCTTTTAACCCTTTCAGTGCGGGGAGGGGGATTGGGTGGGGCCCTGCCTGACTACAAGGGTAGTTTTACATTTCCCCAGAATGCAGCTGTTGCCTTGTATGGACACAGCCAGTGGTGTATCCAGGGCAGTGGCATGACAAGGGGGGTGCAGCCCGCACCCGGGTGACACCAAAATGACTGGCAGTCATTTTGGTGTCACCCCCTCTGAAAAGTCGGGCACTTCATTATGGACCGAGAGCCAGACAGTTTCAAGAGAGAGGAGGGGACCTGGCAGCATACCTTATCCTGCCAGGTGAACGTCCCCTCCTCTCTCTGCCGGCAACCATCACCAAGGTGGCCAACGGCAGGTATCAATAAGATGGCAGCGCATGTGCAATGATGTCACGACGGGACGCCCTGATCCAGGGTACATGGCACATGTCCCGGGAGCCACTTGAAGGGGGAAGAGGGGCGCTGTTCCGCGGGTCAGCAAAAGTTCGCCAACTCACCAAGGCAGCTGACTTTTTGTTTAGCTCTGGCAGCAGGCATCCCGCCCAGCTCCTGGCAACCATTGACGTCACTATCTGCCAGGACCTGGGAGGGAAGCCATAGGTGCATTTTATAGGAGATATGCCTCTGGACACAGCACAGGTTCACTTTAAAGTCACACTAAACACGTATCATCTACATAGACATGCTCCATTGACTTTATCACAGGAAATACACAGGAGAACACATTACCTTCACATAACAGATGTGTGCACACAGCAGGGGGAAGAGTCAGTGCAGCAGGAAGCTGATGTATACATGGAGGAGAAGGAGGATGAAGATATAAACGTATATAAGGGAAGCTGCTCCTCCTCTGCACTGTTCTATTTTCTCTCCTTTCTGACTTGCAGCATTGATCGGCCAGTGTGTGGCTAGGGAAAGGAAGTGTCTGCAGGTTGTGGCACTCACCGGCCACTGAAGTGTTAAATCTTCTCTGGCTCAGCGCTCATGTACACAAGCTTCTCATGAGGCCGCACTGTCAGTGCCGGTGGGAGGGGTCATGGTGCCTGGTGGGAGGGGATATGTCGCCCAACATGGAGTGGAGAGGCTGGTGGGAGGTGCCTAGCTAGAAGGGGATTTTTGTGGTGGGAGGGGCATGATGCATGGTGGGCGGGAACATAGAGCCTGGCAGGGAGGTGACGTCGTGCATGGTGGGCGTGGACATCATGCCTGGTGGGCGGGGATGTGTTGCCTGGCAGGGAGGGTGAGAGGAAGTGTACAGTCCGGGCAGACCACCCTCCTTCTCCTCCAGCAGTAGCTTGTTGTGTCCCAGCACAGACACAGAGACCGGGGCTCCAGTACTGGATCATGATGGCTGATCTTTAGGTGCCGTCACCCTGCATTGCCTTCCCTCCATAGTGACACCGAGTACCCGGAGAAGACCCAGCTCTGCCTGGACATGGAGCCCGCATCTAACGGCAAGTATCTGCAGAGTTCATGTGGAGGGCTCGGGGCACACGTGAATGTCACGGAGCTTCTGCCAGCCGTGCTGGAGCCATGACATTGCCCTGAGCTGTCCGCTAGGATCTGTGCGGCTCCTGAGTCCCTGGAGCATCATGGCTGCATGCTTTCTCCCCCCTGTGATCTCAGTGTAAACATTGGAGCCATTCTGTAATGTATGGGATGTGTCAGGTGCCCTGCCCAGTCCTGGGAGCTTGTATCTGCTGTGGACTGACAGGCTGCTGTCAACTGTTGCGAAGGTCATAAAGGGAGCATTGGACATATGGGGAGATGCCTACGGGGAGCACTAAATAGTAATAGGGAGCAGTGTAGACCCACAGGGAGCACTGAATACCAATAGGGAGCAATGTAGACCCACAGGGAACACTGAATACCAATAGGGAGCAATGTAGACCCACAGGGAACACTGAATACCAATAGGGAGCAGTGTAGACCCGCAGGGAGCACTGAATACCAATAGGGAGCAATGTAGACCCCACAGGGAGCACTGAATACCAATAGGGAGCAATGTAGACCCACGGGGAGAACTAAAGACCAATAGGGAGCAATGTAGACCCGCAGGGTGCAGTATGTAGCTGTATTTACCCACAGGGAGAAGCGTGGATCAATAGAGAGAAGTGTGTACCCATAGGGAGCAGTGTGCATCAGTAGGTAGCTGTTTTTACCCACAGGGAGCAGCGTGTATCAATAGGGAGCAGTGTATATCCATAAGGAGAAATGTAAGGACATGGGGAATGGTGTATATATACCCATATGGAACAGTGTGTATCCATAAGGAGCAATGTAAAGGCATAGGGAACTGTATATAAACTCGTCGGGAGCAGTGTGTATCCATAGGAAGCAATGTATACCAGTAGGGAGTGGTGTCTATTGGTAGGGAACTGTATCTAAACATAGGGTGTGGTGTGTATCAGTAGTAGCAGTATATACCTGTACAGGGCAGGGTGTGTCAGTAGGGAGCAGTGTATACACATAGGGTATGGAATATACCTGTAGGGAGCGATATAAAGACATAGGGAACTGTGTGTATATTTGAATACCAGTAAGGAGTGATGTCTGTTGGTAGGGAACCGTATATAACTATAGGGTATGATGTACCTATAGTGTCATCCCATACATGACACTATTGGTTTGTATCAGTAGGTAGACCTAATTACCAATAGGGAGCGGTGTGTGGCCTTAGTAATTTGGTGAAGGTGTGTGATCCAGCCAGAGATGGTTTGTGTATCAGAACAGGAAGTCCTCCTGGCTCATACTTGTGGCTGACAATCTCTGCAGTCAGCTGACACTCCGTTCTGTGGGGTTAGGCCTGTTGTCTACTTTAATTATGAGGCAAAGCCTGTGCTACAAGCCCGCAAATCATGTGAAAGGTCGTTCCAGCGCTTTCTGTTACAAGTGTGCATTTAAAGCTGAACTCCAGGGAAGCAGCTACTACTAGAGGTGCACCGAAATACCATTTCTGACCGAAACCGAAAGTAAATAAAACATTTCTATCCTTTTTTTGAAAAAAAAAAAATTAAATTTTTTTTTTTTTTTTTACTATTTTTATTTTTTTTTTTTAACTTTACACAGAGTCCTGAATCTCTTATTCTGCAGCCCCTGTTATGAATGAACAGCAATCCTCTATACTGAGTGTTCCTGTTCATTCAGAACGTGTGAAGATAGTATGTTTACTATAACCACAATCATGAATGAACAGGAAGTGATGTAGAACACTTCCTGTTCATTCAGAACTGGGGACACAATAAACATTTTATGTCCTTAATTATTTACAAGCAGTTGGCGATCAGCTGATCGCTGAGTGCTTGTACCCGCACTCCATCTTGACTCGCTGTCACAGGAGGCTGACCGGTGCGGGAGAAGAATTCGGTCTCCTGTGACAGCTGACATCAAAAAGGATGTTAAGCTATTTACAATGCTGATGAAATCTCTTACAATGATGCTTCTTGATGTTTAAAAGTTTGTTTCCTGCAGAAACAGCTGGTCCTCTGAGCACTGGTCCCGACTTCCTGTTTTAGGTGACTCCTCAAGCACAGTGCTATGCAGTCACCCTTCTGTGTACTAGTAAGCTATGTCTGTCTCACACAGACACAGCAACAGCAGATCAAGCTATCCCCCCTCCAACCCCCTCTCTTCATGTTAGTAGATAAACAGTTGCTGGAGTCTGCACTGTCCCTTGTGATCTTGTACTCGACAGGAAGTTCAGGGAAGCTGAGCTGAAAGACTTGGAAGCAGCTGTTCAGAAACATGATGATTGTAAGTGTTTGGGGAAAAATGTAAAGCAATGTTTGCTGAGCAATGTATATTTGTTCTGGTTTCATTATTGAAAAAATTGTTTGAGCGTTTACTACTGCTTTAAACCCCCCATCACTTTTTTTTGTCATCAGTGATTTTTTCCTTCACTTCCTGTCCTGTAGATACAACAGGAAGTGTGGGAAATCTCTCCAAGGTGAGGCAAATCTTCGTTTAGGGCAGGTTCCGGACCAGATCTGGAATGCAGTGCATTGCGTTTTTCCAGCGTTTGTTCTGCGATTTTGATGCTTTTTGGAGCTGTTTTTTAGCTTTAAATGGGCTTTCAGGTGCGTTCCAGTGCATTCAAGACCAGGCAAAAAGGCTTGCACTCTTTCTGTTGATGGCAACTCAAAATGTTAAATTTTCCCTCACTTTCAGTTCCAGTGACAGAGTGAATTTCCCTAGCGGGGACACAACATGAGAACCTGATCTTAGTTCAAGGAGAACTATGGGGTCAGGGCTTTTCCCCATAGTTCTCCTTAGGGTAACGGGAGGAGACAAACTAGCGTCCTCCTGTCACTCTAAGCTCAGTATACCGCAAGCTACAGCTTGCGGTATAATGAGAAGCCGCAGCTGAAGCGGATCCCGACAATTATGTCTGGATCCACCCAGCTGCGTGAGTGACAGCTGGCTCTGCCTATCTAGAGGCAGAGCCAGCTGTATCCGCCCCTCCCCCGTCGGTCAGCGCTGGCGAATCGGAGTGGGGAATCCTGCCCCTCCCCTGTCACGGCAGAGAGCTGTGACATCGAGAAGTGAGCAAACGCCGGTATGTGTTTGCTCACTTCCCGATCTACTGAGCCGACCTATGAAAGTTTAATTGTCGCAGGTCGGCTAGAACTATGAGGTGCGTGAAAAGCACTCACCTCATAGTTCTCCTTTTTAAAGGAGAACTATGAGGTGTAATTTTCACTCAGCCTCATAGTTGGAGCCGACCTGCGACAATTAAACTTTCATAGGTCGGCTCAGTAGATCGGGAAGTGAGCGAACACATACCGTCGCTTGTTCACTTCTCGATCATGTCCCTGCAGAGAGCGGTGACTCACAGTCAACGCTCTCTGCAGGGATTCCCCTCGCTCCGATCCTCCAGCGCTGCCTGGCAGAACAGATGGGGGAGGGGGCGGGTACAGCTGGCACTGCCTCTAGGTAGGCAGAGCCAGCTTAGAAAATGGAAAGTCCCTCTGCACTCCTTACAGCATTCCTGGCCCAAATTGTAATGAGGGTTCTCGCAGTGATAATCATGAATGGCACCGTGCACATCAACAGTAGAAAGCAGGAATCACCAGCACTTAATAAATAGTTTACATATAGTAGACGAAAGAACCAACGTTTTGGGGCCACATCAGGGTGATGAAGGGACCCTGTGCGTTGTTATAAAACATTTATTCTTACCCATATTTTTAGTAAAACATAAAAGTCAGGGTCACGTCGGTTAAATAGACACCAAACATGTCAAGCCTTAAAATTGCGTGCGCCCGCAAAAATCGCAAGAAACGCCCATAGGCGACGATTAAAATGCTTTTACTGCTCATCAGTTTAGTGTTATCAGTGATTAATGGCTCTAAAATGATTGCTCTCACTCAGACGTTTGCGGCGATATGTAACATGTGCGGCACAATAGGCGCAATCATCGTTTTCACACGTAGGCGCACCCGACTCATATCTGTGTGTGTATGTGGGGGGCGGGGACTTACATTTTTTTTTTTTCTTAAAAAAAAATTTTTATGCTTTTTTTTTATGATACTTTAATTTTTGTATTACTTTCTTTTTTTACACACAACTTTATTGCTATTACATGGGGGGGGCTAAGAAGCCCCCTATGGGATAGCCAATTTACATGACAGGTCCTCTTTATGGAGACATCAGGGGTCTCGAAGACCCCTAATGTCACCTAAGGACCTCCAGAGAAGCTGATGAAGCAGAGATTGGCATCATCAGCTTCTCTAGCTAGAGAGTGACACTGAATGCAGGAAGTGATGTAATATACATCACTTCCTGCATTCGGGGACTGAGGAGATCAAAGGGAGTTCGTGTACTGAACTCCCTTTTAATCTCCTGTCACAGCCATGCCTGTCCCGGCCGCATCGGGCACAGCGGATCTCGGGACCGGCAATGGCAGTGACAGCTGCTAATACAAGCGATCGGGCGTCTCTAGAGACGCTCGATCGCTTGACTGTGTTAGGCCCCGTTCACATTGAGCGATTTATCGCGTGGTAATTCCCGCCATATCGCGGCTATTTACCGCGCGATATCGCTCTCCAATGCATCTCAATGGGGCAAAGGGTCCTGCTGTCGTGGGTCGTGGGTCGTGTGTCGCTACAGCAGGACCCTTTTTGGAGCGGATTTTCCCGCGATTCTCGCTTGCTCAATGCAAGCATTTGCGCGATATCGCACAACATGCAAATCGCGTGACAAACGTGCGATTTGCGAATCGCGCAATGTGAACCGGGCCTCAAGCTCCCGGCCAGGAAGCTGCTCGTCGGGCTCCACCGTCCTCTCGTCACAGACCAGTGGACAAGTGGATTTTTCAAGCCCTGCTCATGGTATTTGTAGTCTTGCCACAGCTGAAGGGCCGGAGTTTGCCCACCCCCGATATAGAGGTTAGCAAGAGAAGGCTTGTTTGCATCAAAAACCAGTCTGACTAATTTTCCTGTAAAATGACTTTAGT